CCCCCCACTTATAAATCAAAATTCCTCAGGGAAACGTACTGAAAATTTTTAATTAGCGGGGATCGAAAGCTTATAAATAGTTTCTAATTCTGAGCTATACATTTTTTGTTTTTACATGTTGGGGGAGAGGGGACTAGATGAACAGGAGTTATGTCTGTAAATTATGTCTTTTTGCAACAATAAAAAGCGAATTGAATAAAAGTGAGACATTCATAAGGTAATTTTTACTCTTCATCAGATCAATTTTGAGTGTATATTAAGAACACACAACAAGAAATTATTTCTACTACTAAAAGAACTTTACTGCAGTTTAAGACTGGACTAAGGAAACCATTACGGTCGCATTACTTAACGCGAAGTTCTGGCGGAATTATTTACTAGGTATTTCGAACTTTGCCGAGAGCAAGGATCCCAAAGATCTCCTTGGGACGCGAAGTGATGAAGTCGCCTAGTGATTTCTATATCTTCTGGATATTTTTCTGTATCTTCTGAATTTGTTGATGATCCTGTTCGGACCGAGGTGAGAAAGTGGCCACGCGATTTTTTCGCACTCTGTTTGTAAATATTTCAAGTCAATTGACAGCAAATTCTCGAAACGTTAGATATTTCTTTAATAGATTTTTTTTAGGATTTTTTAAGGAAATATCCATTATGAACATCTTGGGAGGGGTGGGGGAGGTCCTGGAATCCCGGTCTCAGGGTGCTGGATTTTTGCCGTCCATTATATTCCCTTATGCCTTTATAAGAAGGGGGAGAAGGATTCGGAATAACTGAAGCATAACTTTCTTCTCTAAACAACTAGTTGCACCTCGTGCTTCATTTTCATCGAAATCTCTTGCTAATATTTATGATATGAAACTACCTTCACGACTTATTAAGGCCTTCACCTTTTCTTTCATCTAAGCATCGGTCCATCCGACCTACATTCATGGGGGAAGGAGTAGGTAATCTATGACCCAGTATGGCGTCTGCGGGACAGGGGAAAATGTTATTTACCCGTTTGTCCATTGTGTTATCTGTAATGTTTATTTTCACTTAAGGATTAAGTGCACAGTAACTTTGTCCAGCGATGAGACCACATCCGTCTTCTATGTCGAAGGCTGTACCGTTTCGTAAGTCTCCGTTTCTGTTCCTATTTTGATTCATTTAGACTTTACTTTTCGGAAGCCGCTGTGCAAGTTTTGACTGGTCTCTCCGTGTTCTGTCATGGAAGTCATTGTTCCACCTTCTTCGAACATTTTATTCGATAAATTTCCTTGATTGATCTGAATGATAATCTCTTGATTCTGCCTTAATTGGCTGGATTTAACTTAAGTTATACATTGACTGGTTTGCATATTCCCGAATCCTTTTTTTGTTAACCCAAGGGAAATCATCCATCATAGATACTCGCGCCCTCTGAGGGCGGGAGGAAGGCGGGTTATGCCGAACTCTTACCGGCTAAAACCTCTGGGGAGTGCTTTTTTCGGAGCGTAGTGTGGGGAACCGGGGGAATTGTTTCTCACAATATTTCCCCGGTTCCCCAATTTATATGTCTCCGGATCTTGATTTGATACGATTTGATAAATTGTATATAGATCTTGCCTTAACCACTTCACTGTCAAAGAAAATCAGCATCAATTGACACAACAATAGTAAGATCAAAATACTGTTTGATTTTTATAAAAGTCAGTACTAAAATACTTTTCAAGTCGCTGAGTACGAATTTAAGATCAAAATTTGAAAGTTTAAATTAATCTCAGATTCTAAATCAGCAAGCCTAAAAATCCCCAAGTACCGAGTTTCATCCAAATCAAGTCACTTTTCCATTTGGTCCGCCATATTGGGTCTGCCATCTTGGATTTGACAAGACTAACTTCAGATTTGAAAGCAGTGACTCGCGAATATCAGGATATAAAATAAACTAAGGTAACCCGCACCATATCGACAAACAATAACATCTAATAGGAAGACGAGAGAGAATGTATTGGAATGGGAGCTTGGATAGCTCATTATTAAGAGCAGTCGTCGGGCAAGTGAAAGGTCTCGGGTTCGAGTTCCATCGACTTCCGAATATACTTTTCTCTCCGATTCTTACACAGGTTTCATCAAAATCAAGTAACTTTTCGCACTTTGGACCGCCATATTGAATCCGCCATTTTAAATTTTCAAATTTAGAGTTCGAAATCAGCGACCCTAAAAACCTTTGAGTACCATAAAAGAAGGAGGACGTATTAGGTGGTGGCGTGGACGCCGTGCGTTCGGGACCTGCGTCTTTTTCGTTCCGGAGAGAAAAATATCGAGAGCGCGGTTTGCTAGGCTGGGACTCGAACCCGGGCCTTTCGCTTTCCAGGCGACTGCTCTAAACCACTGAGCTATCTGACACTCCACGCTCACGATACTCTCTTCTCCCTAGATAACGCTCAGAGATGTCATTTGGAAACGATATCTCTGGCGCGATCCTGAGCGCACGGCAACTACAGAAAGAAACAATGTTACTGTACCAGGTGGAATAGCTGTTAGTCTTTCAAAGTCAAAGGTTACTGAGTTTGATGAAGATCTTAGCTAACGGAAGAAAAATAAAATGATGTGCGTATTAGTGCATCAATGCCATTTTTGGTATACCCTTTATTTGACGCATGTTTGGTAAAGAGGACGAGAAGACGCATAAATAGTTAATCACCTTGTATCCTTCCTTATTCATAAATATCTCTAACTACATTTCTAATTAATTTCAATGTTTTTTTTTTTCAAGCGAACCCTCGTGGTTCTAGCGGATCTTTCATGACTCTTCGAGCGCATATTCATTGGTCATTGCGACCAAGTAGCTGACTCCTGTGATTTTAGCGGACCCTCGTGGTTTTTGCGAGTCTCTCATAGCTCTTCTAGCGCAAGCTCATCCGTAATAGTCATAAGAAGTTATAGAGGTTTCTTGTTATACAAACAAGAGAACCTCACAGGCTTGGCTCGCGCGCCAAATATATTGCATGTTCCAGATCTAGTACCGCAATGTTTGATTTCCTTAGCAACTTCTTCGATCGTCATCTTCTCAATGATCATGATTTGTTACTTCATGTTATTCATTGCTTTCTGGTGAAGTTGGGCTATACGTTTTGTACTAGACCTTCTTGTACGATTTTCCACATCCTTCCTGTCGACTAGCTCCAGATCACCTGCGCGACCTCCGCCGCCTCCCTTTGTCGGCGACTCTTGCATCCTGCGCGGCCTCTGCCACCTCCTTTCGTCGGCGACTCCTGCATCCTGCGCGGCCTCCGCTGCCTTCCTTCGTCGGCGACTCCAACATTCTGCGCGGCCTCCGTCGCCTCCTTTCGTCGGTGACTCCTGCGCAGCCTCTGCCGCTTTCCTTCGTCAGCCACTCCAGCATTCTACGCGACCTTCGCCGTCTCCTTTCGTCGGCGACTCCTGCATCCTATGCGACCTGCGCCCCCTCCTTTCGTCAGCTACTCCTGCATCCTGCGCGGACTCCGCCGTCTCCTTTCGTCGGCGACTCCTGCATCCTAAGCGACTTGCGCCTCCTTTTTTTGTCAGCTACTCCTGCATCCTGCGCGGCCTCCGCCGCTTCCTTTCGTCGACGACTTCTGCATCCTGCACGGTCTTTGTCGCTTCTCTTTGTTGGCGACAGTTAAAGTGTTGTTTGTTTTTTTCGTTAAAAGTTTAAATGTTTGCAAAGTGCTATTTCCTCAAAATTAAAATACAACGGAGTTAGCGGGGGGGGGGGGGGGGGGGGGGGGG